GGACTTAAAAAAAGGAGGAAGGTTGGGATCACAGGACATAGGCTAGAAGCATGCCAAGTTTAGTTCTGCCAAACTGAAGATATCTTTTCTTTTTCTATTCCATGGAGAGGAGGAAACAACCAGTAAGAGGAGTAAGAACCAAATACCCATATGAAAGAAAAAAACAAAAGAGAGCCAACTATATGAGAGAAGCTGTCTCAAAGGCCCTTTATATATGTCACTTATTAAAACTAGTACACAAGCTGAATATGTGACTACTTACCACTGAAAGCCATCTCACTTTTAGAATGAGAATCCTAATATATAAGAAACCGGAGGCCATCATGACCGAAACAACCAGAGGTACGACCTAACAGCAGGCTGCGTGGGGCGACCAGGCCACCGGGGGGTGGGGGTGGGATGGCTGCCAAGGGGGGCATTTATGAGCGATCGGGCAGGCAAGCGAGCAGTTAGGAGCCAGTAGTCCCAGATTGTGAGAGGGATGTCTGACATCCCCCGAGGGGTCCCAGATTGAAAGGGTGAAGGCTGGGCTGAGGGGGGGACCGCCACATGCACAAATTTCATGCACCAGGCCTCTAGTAATCTTACAAAGAAAAACTAGTAAAATTTAATGTAACAAAAAATAAATCCTTTCATTAACACTATTTTAAATATTAAAACGCCTATCCCCCCAAAAGGGCTAATTACATTTAAATCTCAATATTTTCAAATAAAATACTATGAAACTTTAAGTATTCAAAATGACAAGCTATAATAATTATTACTCCTACTTACCCGTTTGTCTAAAGTTCTTTCTCTGACAAAATTAAGTAGGTGATCATTGACCAGAAGAATATCCTTTTTAGCAGCTGTAACTATAGACACAATAACATCATGTCTAATAGCTTCCTCAGGGTCATGTGACCTCACTTTAAGATACTCTGAAAGATAAAGTTTTTATTGATTGAAATTTAACTTTAACAATTGAAATGTCTTTAAAACTTGTGTAAGACCTTTTAAAGCAAACCACAACAAAAACAAAACCTAAGTAAAAGGTTCAATGTTTCAAGTAAACTGGGAGCAGTGAGGGAGGAAGGGAGGAAGGAAAGTAAAAAGGAAGGTCAGCCCTTGAGTCAAAACAAAGTTTACATGCAACTGAGTAGTAAATCCCTTCCCCATTTGCAGTGCAGAGTAGATGATCATAGAGTTCCTAACCTCATTAAACAAAGCAACTATATAAATAAACCACAAAGTATACCAACATTAAAAATTTCACCTGTTTTTTTATTTAATAGTTAAAACATTCAAGTCAAGTAGTTCTACTAGGAAAGGAAAGTGTGCTCAAATTTCTATTCCTTAACAAGGGAAACTTTCAGTGAGGTTATTAAGAGTATAAAATTGAGATATGGTTATCAAGAAACAGGACTACAGGAAATACCATAGGCAATTCCATTTAACTGAACTAAGAAAGGCCAAAGGGAAGACAGAAGAAATAAAACATTTAAAAATTATGAGTGCATAGGAGTTCAGATCTTGCACTGAGAATGCTGAAAGAAAAGTTTTAACAATCTTCAGTAATCATATAATAGGTTGAAGGAAGAAGTCACACAATTGAATATAAATTTTAAAAATAAAATATTCAGCTTTTTTATAATAAGACCAGTAAGATAAAATTTCATTGTTTAGATTTGGAATAATAAATATTGCCAGGCCTATACACAACAAATAGTGCTATGATTGTGAATGAATTTACTTCTCTATAAAATAATAATGTAACAAATACTTATAATGTAAACACTCATAAAAACCAATGTTCAGGTTTTAAGCCTGTCCACTTTGAGTATTCTCTACTAATAGAAACTATTCAAAAAAATGAGGAAGACCTTATGCTGCTAAAGAAATTGAAGAAATGGAAAGGTTATTTTACCTAACTCAGCAAAGAAAGTTATTTTTAGCATATCTCAATTTCCCCACCAAGATAAATATAGGAGTTTTATTTTTCATTGTACTTGTTTTGAATGCAATACATACTATTTTAGGTACCATCAAAAAAGAAAAATGCAATAACCATCAATTTTGAGATGCATCCCAATTTCCCAGAAACAATAATTCACACAAGAACTATTAACTTATATTTACTGTGCAGAAAAAAGAAAACAGGAGAAAAAAAGAAATTCTCACTAGTTACTTAGTATGAAAAAGTAGGACTCTTCACAATATGGCTATGTCCCTCAGACTTGGCTGAAGATACAAACATGAATCTCGCAAAACACTGTTGAAAAAAATAAGATAAATGTGTGTGTACAACACATTTATCTTAGCTCACTCCTGAAGCCCTAAGAAAATGTCTTTAAATGGGACAAGTAACAAATGAAGAGATCATAGCAAAAGAGATTTCCAACAAAATTTTGGCAGATGGATGATTGGTAAGTGCCAGAGGAAAGAGGAAAATAATAAAATCCAAAAGGTGAAGAAAACAATAGACAAGCTCAATTCCAGGATAGAAGAACCCTCAAAACATTTTGAAATTCAAAGCGCCAAGCTATGAGCAAGACAGAGATGAATACTGTAGTTGAAAATATGAGTGGTTGAAAATACGCAGAGAGGTTAGAACCCTCATTTTTCAGTTTTTAGGCAACTACAAAAATTAAAATGTGCCCGGAGACTGAACACTAGAAAATAATAAAATATAAATGTTTCATTAAAAATTCAAACTATATATAGTGGGTCCTCTCTATATACTGGTTCCACATCTGTAGATTCAACCAACCACCAACAGAAAATAACTGGAAGGTGGGAATGTAACATTGTTGATGTGTACTATGTAGGTAGGCCTACAATGGCTGTATCTGTACTGAACATGTACAAGTTTTTTTCCCCTGTCATTATTCCCTAAACAATAGCTAACAACTTAATAACTGTTTACATAGAATTTACATTGTATTAGGTATTATATATAATCTAGAGGAAATTTCAAGTATAAGGCAGGGCAGGAACTGATGGAGGTGGGCAATGGGGGAAGGATGGGGGAACCTGTAATACTCTGAACAATAAAGATAAAATAAAAACAAAGTATAAGGTAGAATGTTTATATGTCTATACCACTGTATTTAAGGGTCTTGAGCATCCTCAGATTTTGGTATCTACAGGGTGGGAGTAAGAGAGTCTTGGAACCAATCCCTGGAACCAATCCCCAGGGACAACTGTAAAGCGAAATGTGGAATACAAAAAGGAGGTTCTATGAAAAGTAACCTCACAGAGTGATCTAATCATAAATTTCTAACTGGGCAGGTCATGGTGGGCAATCATTCTACAGGCCTATAACTTCTTTAATGAAATGTTTTATGCCAACCCTGTGTATTGTTTTTGTGCACCTAGGTTAGCACACCTTTGAAATAAAGGGTGTCCCAAAATGCACACAAGAAGTAATTTTGATAGAAAACACAGGTTTATAATTAAAAATTGTAAATTTTTTATTGATTTATAAAGTATACAGTATAAGGTTATGTATGGAAGTGCTCGCTATCAAAACATGATAATCCAGTTTACCCAATATGCTATTCCATACATAACCCTATACTGTATACTTTATGAATCAATAAAAAATTTACAATTTTTAATTATAAACCTGTGTTTCCTATCAAAATTACTTCTTGCGTGAATTTTGGGACACCCTTTATTAACTCTCAAGAAAGCACATAATCTTAACTATCCTGTAATCCAATTCCTGAATTGCTTCCTCACACCTTCATATAATCTTCCTTACATTCCCTGCTTAATTTTAAATGAATAGAAGAAAGTATGAAACTGTTATTCTCAAGAGCATCTGAGATCTTGCTCCCTCATTATATTGTCAATTTGGTTCAAATAAACTCTTATAAAAACTCTCTACAAATTTGGATGTTTGTTAAGTCAACAAAAATCTTCAAAATAACCTAGGGACTAAAACAATTACTGATGAAATAATTCACAGCTAAAACATTTTTAAAATATCTTCTAAAAAAGCAAAACACTGCCTGGCCGGTGTGCCTTGAGTGTTGACCTATGAACCAGAGATCTCAGTTCTATTCTGGTCAGGGCGCATGCCTGGGTTGCAGGCTTGATCACTGGTAAGAGACAACAAATCAATGATTCTCTCTCATCACTGATATTTCTCTCTCTCCTTCCTCTCTGAAATCAATAAAAATATTTTTTAATCAAAACATCTACCTATTATTTAGCCAATCATAAACTTTGTTTTAAAGTTCTGACTATGGAAAAAATTGCTTAAATTTTTTTATACTTAAAAAAATCCAGAATACCTACAGAATTACTACAAATCAACAACAAAAAATAACAAGTCAATTTTAAAAAAGATAGGTTTAAATTTTAAACAGCCAATTCATAAAAGAAAATAATATATCAAGATATACATAAAAATGATGGTCAATCTCATCACTAAATAGAAAAAGGCAAATTAGAACCACAAAAGAACAAGACTTATGAGAACAGCTAAAATAAAAAAATACTGATAAAACAAAATGTCAGCAAAGACGCTTTACAACTAGAACTGTCAAACATTTCTGGTGTAAGTGGAAAATAGTGTTTCTTATAAAGTTAAATATGTATTTACCCTATGACCAGCAATTATACTTCTAAGTGGTTCCAAAAAGAAGTAAAAACATATTTCCACAGAAATACTTGTACAAGAATACTCACAGTGATCTCAGTCATAACAACCCCAAACCGTAACAACACATATATCCATAAAAAGAAAAAAAAGAATAAAAGTCTCAGACACTAGCAACTAGACTTTTAAACTCTTGATAGGATACTCTTCTCTGGGCAATCTAACTAGTTCAAGAGGAATTATCAAGACACAACCCATCAAATTCACCCTAGAGCAGTGGTTCTCAACCTTCCTAATGCTGCGACCCTTTAATACAGTTCTTCATGTTGTAGTGACCCCCAACCATACACTTATTTTCGTTGCTACTTCATAACTGTAATTTTGCAACTGTTATGAATCATAATGTAAATATCTGATATGCAGGATGTATTTTCATTGTTACAAATTGAACATAATTAAAGCATAGTGATTAATCACAAAAACAATATGTAATTATATATGTGTTATCCAGTGGTCTTAGGCGACCCCTGTGAAAGGGTCGTTTGACCCCCAAAGGGGTCACGACCCACAGGTTGAGAACTGCTGCCCTAGAGTAAAGGTCAGAGTCATATATTCAGGGCTTTCTAATCAGCTTTTTATTAGCTCCCACTCTTTAATTATGAGCAAATAGCCATGGATTGTCAAGCACTTAAGGAAAGCCTCTAACATGGAAAATAGAGAAAAAGGAAATAAAAAGTTAGCTGAACAAACATTTTGTAGGATAAAGAAAACTTCCCCAAAACACTGATTAGTTTTCTCAGAGAATATTGCATACATAACACAAAAAGAGGATGCCACAGTGAAAGGAACATCGATGTGAAAATAGAAGGAAGGATACAAAAGGAAGATAGAGAGATGCACAGATGTACTTACACAGCCTGCAAGCACAAGGAAAGGAAGAATGGGAAGGAGAGGGGGCAGAAAAAGAGGGAGGAAGAATGAACTGTCTTATGATCAATGCTGTAAAACAGCTCACAGAGCAAGCAGTGCACATTCAGATGTGAGTAGGCAAATAGAGGGTTCCAAGGAGGAATACAATCTATTTCTTCCTCCCTCTACCCCCAACCCGAAAGAAAATGAAACTGATAAATACCTACTGACAAGAATTTAACAAAATGTGAAAGCAACAACCTATTGTTAAAAATATTACAAAAAGTTAAACTTTGTGATTTTACCAGAAGAAACTCAGAAGGAAGTACTAAAAATTAAGACACAACTGTGAGCAAATACTGTATAAAAAGGGCAGTTACAAATGTAGTAAACGTTAGTATAAAGTTTTAAAAAAAGAATAAATCCTTTATAAAAAAAGGGTAATATGCAAATTGACCCTAACAGCAGAACAACTAGGAATGACTGGTCACTATGACACACACTGACCACCAGGGGGCAGACGCTCAATGCAGGAGCTGCCTCATGGTGGTCAGTGCGCTCCCACAGGGGAAACACTGCTCAGCCACAAGCCAGGCTGATGGCTGCCAGCACAGCGGTGGTGGCGGGAGCCTCTCCTGCCTCCTCAGCAGCACTAAGGATGTCCGACTGCAGCTTAGGCCTGCTCCCCACTGGCAAGTGGACATCTCCCGAGGGCTGCCAGAGGGATGTTTGACTGCCAGCTTAGGCTTGATTCCCCGGGGAGTGGGCCTAAGCTAGCAGGTGGACATCCCCCAAGGGGTCCGAGACTGCGAGAGGGCAGAGGCCGGGCTGAGGCCTCCCTCCCCACCCCCCGCCCAGTGCACAAATTTTTGTGCACCGGGCCTCTAGTAACTAAATACCAAGCAATTATGTAACAAATGAGAAGAGTGTTCAGAATTTTAGGTTTCAGAGATCCTTGACTAATCAGAAAGATATGGGAGAATTTTGATTAACTTTACAAATTTCATTAATCTATTACGCATTTCTGAAAGCACAAAAGTGAATGTTAACCTCCAAGCACATGGAGGGAAAAAATGAGAAGAAAGCAAGCTGATGAACTGAGCAAAAGAGAACAAAACAGAAAAAAAGCAAGAAAAAGGCATGGAAAGTAGAACACAAAATAAGAAAGCAGAAATAAGTTCAACTACATCAGATTCAAAGGATACTTAAATAAAAATAGTAAGGCACATGACAATAATATATATAATTTATGGAAAGATACACATGTAGCATATACAGAAAAACATGAACCAGATGCAGACCAAATTTAGTAGGGTGGTTACCCTCTGTAGAAGAAGGGAGTATAGTTTGTGAGGGGCATTTTAACTAAATGTAAAATTTATTTTCTTTTTTAAAATGTCTTAAGCCAATGTAGCAAAATGCTAACATTTCTAGGCAGACATAGTAGCTGTTATATCCATTTATATTTTCTGAACTATTCCATAACATTAAAATAGTTAGTAAAACAATAATAGTCAAAGCCATGATTTCTCATTACTACATAAATATAAAGTTCTGAACTGCCTTATAATTATAGAGATTTCAAAAACCTTACTTTCATTTTAGGATGGTTAAATTAGCTTACAAAATAATGATTCTACCCTAAGTTCTCAAAATACTGGAAAATGTTAAAATCTGTATTATAATTTAGTCATAGTCAAGACCTGTTCAAATCCAAATGCCTGAAATATTTCTAAAAATATCCTTAAACTTCAAAATTAAAATTATCTCTGATAAAACCAACATTTTATAGGTGCTTATTGCCTAAGTAGGCACTAGGAGGTAAAAATTCTAGCTTCAGAAAGTAACTCTGATAATGACAAATTGAAACAAGACTTCACCTATAACAGAAACAAAAAAAGATTATTTATCCCCCAAATATTTAAAATGGATTTTTTCACCAAAGAGCACCCAGAAATATTTGTTATTATGGGTATACAGTACCTGTTAAGTCCTTTGCTAAATCAGGATGGTTCATGAGACAGTGACTAGCAAATTTTACACATTCCAGGCGTATTGGTACATGAATATCATTAAACCTGATAAAATATAAAGGCATAGTGATCTTTAAAATTAGAGAGACATATCTGTTTAATCTGCAATCAATTTATATTTATTTCTCTAATTAAAATTTATGTAGGATAATTTGAAGTGGACCCAGAGACTTTATCAAAGTTTTTGATATACTATTCTCCTATATAATAAAAACATAATATGCTAAATATCTGACCAATCAGTCGACCGTTTGGTCAACAGCTCAACCAGTTGCTATGAGGCACACTGACCACCAGGGGTAGATGCTTCGACTGGTAGGTTAGCTTGCTGCTGGAGTCCAGCTGATGGGGACTGGGCGACTGGACCAGACACACCCTATAGCCCTCCCACAGTCCCTCGCCGGCCAGCCGGCCAACCTCCCTTGGTCCAACCTCCCACGGTCCCTCCCCAGCCTGCTGGCCCCCATCGGCCCTGATCAGGACTGGGTGAGATGGCCCCAAAATGCCACGATCTGCCCCAATCACAGGCCAGGCCGAGGGACCCCACCCATGAACAAATTCATGCATTGAGCCTCTAGTATGTGTGTAAATGTTTTGAAGCCTCCTTATTAAACTAGAACAATCTCCTGTGATAACTATGTACTTTACAAGGGCATGTTTAAATACACATTTGACTCAAATACAAGAATTAAAATGACAATTTTTCTATAAATATACTTTAAAATATGTTTATGAAAGTATAATGTGTGTACATAGTTCATAGATACATTATATAAATCTCCTACTGTGTTTAAAAAGAAAACTATTCCTCAAAGTAGTCTTTTTTATATAGAGGTATTCACAAATGTGTGGTAATCTTATATGCTTAACCCGTATTAATTTACATGACTCTATTAATTATAATAGAGTGCCCAAATTAGTCCTATCCAGTTAACAATCACAATTACAATATACCCATTAATATCAAAGCCAATTTTTACATGGAAATGTAATACATTAGCATCTCTAAAAAAATCAAGTTTGGTTGATATGTCATTTAAGTATCTTTTAATTTTATATTTTTCCTTCATTTTTTTCCCTCCTTATAATTTGGTGAAGCAACTGCTTTTTGTTTCTGTACAGTGTTTTCCCAATTAAAATTTTGCTAATTTTATCATTCTGATATCAATTAACAGGCTCCCCTTTCTTCTAAGTTCATATGGCTATGATCATATAAAAATGATCATATTAGGTTCTTTTTCTTAGGAAGACTACTTTATATATGGCATTGTGTTCCTCTATCAGGAAGCATATGATATCTAATTGTCTCTAAACATTGATATTCAAAGCTTATATACTTTAGTTCATGATGGACTATAAAAGTGACTTAAAAACCTTAAGAAACAACAAAAAAAAGCCCAGCCGGTGTTGCTCAGTAGTTGAGTGTCGACTTATGAACCAGGAGGTCACAGCACATGCTCAGGTTGTGGGCTCAATTCCTAGTGGGGAGGAGGCAGCCAATCAACAATTGTTTCTCATCACTGATGTTTTTTTCTTCTCTCTCTCTCTCTCTCTCTCTCTCTCTCTCTCTCTCTCTCTTTTTGTCTCTCTCCCTTCCTACCTCCCTCTCTTCCTCTCTGAAATCAATAAAAATATCTTAAAAAAATAAACAAAAACATTAAAGTGAAGTGAGAATTTTCCACTTGCTATTTTCATGTCTTAATTCTGAAAGATTAAAAGTTTCCAAATCTTGTATTGCCCAATACTATAACACACAAAATTTAGCATTTTATAAAGAAGAAAATAAGAAGGCCCAAAATAAGCACCAAATTACTCATAAAAGCTTATTACTAGAAAAAAGTTGTTTTATAAAAAAAAAATTATAAATTCTAGCCTATACTCATAAAATGTCTTGAGTGTTTTGAATCCAGGTCCAGTTTACCATTTCTCAACTAAACATGTACCATACAGCCATAATAAATAAAATAAATTATCTTTAAGAAATAGTCTAGCTCCTTGAAATTGGTAACAATGTGGAAATTTTATGTTATTACAAGTAAAAGAAAAAAATTACAAAGTAATAGAAAGGTGACATAAATGTAAATTAGGATTTTTCTTCCATAAAATCTATAAAGTCTGGGTAATCCAAGTGCTGATTTAAAAATATACTTTAAATGTCTATATGTAAAAATTGTATTTTTGCTTTAACACATTAAACAGAATGGATTTTAAATTGAATCTCACAATTTAATTACACTTGTAAAATATTTTGCTTTACTACTCAAGAACTTTCCACTGTATTTAAAGAAAAAAAAAATCCTATCTAATAATAGACAAACATGGTAATTGACCGTACCTTTGCTACACCTCCCATTGGCTAATCAGCACGATATGCAAATTAACCACCAACAAAGATGGAGGCTAATTTGCATACTGCAGGCAGGGCCGGCAGCACACAACGCTGCCCGCAGGCCCCGGGCCCCTAACCCCTGACTGGCGAGGTGGGGCCAGTAGCGCCTGATGCTGCCCGGGGGATCCGGCCTTGGATACGTGACCTGGCGAGGGAGCAAAGCAGTGGAGAAGGGAGACAGCCCAGGTGGCAGAGAAGGGAGGGAGCCGAGGGCAAAGTGGCAAAGGGAGGGAGCAAGGCAGCTGAGAAGGAAGCCCATTCTTGCAGAAATAGGCCCGAGGAAGCCCTATTCCTGCAGGAATCTTCCTGCAACGGGCCTCTAGTATCTAAAATAAAACTCAAAATGACAATGGGGAAATATTTGTTAGTTTAATATAACTTGTTAAATGTTATTATTTACCTATAGGAGATAATCAGATTAAGAATTTAGCATTTGGCAAGTACTGATAAAGGCTTATATATTCATTTAAAAAATTAGAAAACTAAAACCAAAGAGATAAAAATTTACTATAATTCATTGACAATTCTGGGATTGAGATAGAAAGAAAAGTGATAACAAAAATAAAAATATTGTCCTGGCCAGTCTGGCTCAGGGCTTAGGGCATCAGCCTACAGAATGAAGAGTCTCAGGTTCAATTCCCAGTCAAGGGAATGTACCTAGCTTTTAGGTTTGATTCCAGGCCCCGGTTGGGGCACATGAAGGAGGCAACCAATCAATGTCTCTCTCACGTCAATCAATCTCTCTCTCTCTCTCTCTCTCTCTCTCTCTCTCTCTCTCTCTCTCTCTCCTCTCTCTGTCTCTGTCCTCCTCTCCTCCCTCCCTTCCATACTGCCTGAAAATCAATGGAAAAAACATCCTCAGGTGAGGATTAAATAAATAAATAAATATTCTAATACAAAGGAAATAGAATAAGTCTTAAAATATTATTTGTCTATTAATGACTTAATTACATTATTTATTACTAGAGGCCAGGTGCACAAAAATTTGTGCACTTGGGGGGCGTCCCTCAGCCTGGCCTGTGCCCTCTTACAGTCTGGGACCCCTCGGGAGATAACGACCTGCTGGCTTAGGCCTGCTCCCGGTTGGCAGAGGGCAGGCCCAATCCCTAGGTGCAGCCCCTGGTCGGGCTCAGAGCAGGGCCGATTGGGGAGTTGGGGCGCCACCCCCTGTCATGCAAGGAGCA